AAATACTACAATCACACACAAAATTATTTTGTTCTTTATAGCAGTACGCCTATGTGTATTACAGGTGAGCCAGCGTACTACAGAGCTATCGTGATTATTTACACCCATTGAAAGGCATTCTGTAATACCGAATCTGATTGGCGTACAAGGTAAACAAGGTCTGCAATGGACCATGTTTTGATACCTGTCAACGGTGTATAGAGATGGCTATTAATAAATTTAAATATCGATATGGGTACATTTATCTTTTATCTCCAGAGAATAAAGGCGCGTTTACGTTAATTGATCAAGTCACTTAAATTCAATTCGTATGAATGCAATATGACCGTCTAAACTCGACAAATCATGTCAATTGATCAAGTGAGTTGATTCAAGTATCTGTTGACTATTGTTTAACTTTTGACTTCAAGTGGTGGTTTTAAAATGGCGGGAAGTAGGTGGTCAGAAGAAAATTCTGTAAAATGTTTTTATTTATATGATAAATATGAGTGTTTATGGAGCACACAGAGTCCAGAATACAAAATTAGAAAAGAAGAGTAATTTCTAGCTTAAACATTACGCATTAATGTGTCTTGTTTTTACACATAAAACTAAAATTAAAAATATATTATAATTTTCCGGCACATTTATTTTTTAAGAGTTTGTTTTCGATGTTTTATTCTTGAAAACTCATATAGACATACAATCGACCTTAGATAGTGATAAAAAACAAACTGAGATATCTGTGGCGGAAGTTCACTTCCGTAACTTTCATCAGTTAACAGAGTTTACTCTTATTTCCTTGCAATTCAAGGAAAACTGGGTATTGATCTTACACTTAGTGCGGTAAACATTAATGTTTATAGACAAATTTAAAATGAATATATTTAGATATTCAAGGTCTAAATTAAGGTGCAGAAAAAACGAGATAGTTGTTTTTCGAAAATTAACTTTTTTATTTAACTTGATTTCTCGTATAAAATGTTGTTTTTATTTAGGATACCTGATATTTTACATGTATTTATTTAAATCCTGAATATTTTATTAAAATTTATATTTGAAAAAATATTTTTTGGTGAAATTTTTATTTTGGCGCCTTCGCCATTTTAGAAAAAAACACCTTTCTGTACAAAATTGTAAATGTCAATTGTTTATCGGAAAAATTGTTTACTTTTGTACTTAATGCAAAGAGTTTTAAACTCTAGTGTAGTATCTTCGCTCATCTAATAAAAACTTAAGCTATAATATGTATAAATTGGGGGCCTAAAATTCCCCTTAAACATTATTATTATGCTTTGAAAAACAAGATTTTTTAAAAAATATATTTACTAAATTGTTATTGTTAGTAAATATTTTTACAGTGCGAATTGAAATATATTTTGTTTCTCTTCGTACTATGTACTATTTATTATTATTGATAGAAATCGTGTATATGTGAATTTTTACAGTTTTAATATTTTTGGAATTTTGGTAAATAAGATTCCTAAAAAGGGAAATGAAATAAATAGATAAGGATAGTATACAATAATAAAATTGATAATAGATTTCTAGAAGTAAGTATACACTACAACAATATACCGAAATTATTTTTTATTTATATTTTAAAGTTAACAAAAAACAAAATAAATATAATACATTTCAACAAAACAAGGGAAAATTAATAAAAAATATCTATATTAAAAATATCATTAACAAAAAAATATTGATAATGTATTTATATAATAATAATTGTCTTTAAACTTCTGATCTATTTTTGCCTATTTCAGGAAAATATTTTAACTTTAAGGTGGCTCAAAAAAGTGTGAGTAAAAATAGAGTGGATGGGAATACTTTTTTTAAACAGAATACTTTATATATTATTTCATTTTTGGCTTCCTTCTATATCACTTTACATCAGGGTTGGAAAAAATCATGATTTTTTTAAAAAAATCAAAAAAATCAGATTTATTTGATTTAAATCAGATTTTTTTGATTTTAATTCAAAACAATATTTAAATCGGATTTCCAAATGACTAGGACTTATTTCCAATTAAAGTCCTATCCTAAATGGCTAAATCTTTATAACTCTGCCTGATACCGATAACATTAACAATTCTACGGGGCGTGTCATTTTTCCACATCGGTCACCAATATATTCGGCAAAAAAAGTCGCTCGCTTCAGATCAAAAGGATTTTTTTTCAAACATCTCTAAGATATTAACTTTTGTCATTTTAATGCCTAGGCACAAAAGTAAAGCACTGTTAGACCTAAGCACAAAAGTACAAAAATATATTATTAAACTGATATTAAGTGTCAAATTCAACGAGTGTACAAATTGTTGCTCGATTACTGTTCATATTATTTGCAATGTTTGAAATTGATTAAAAATTTATTTGTAATGTTTTAAAAAAATAGTATGTTCTATTCGGAGTAAAAATGTACTTTTTGTGCTCCCTGAAACGTCGGAATAGCTTTACGATGGTCCTTCAAAGGTATAGCATCGTCAAAAAAAGTATAATTTTTACTCTTAATAAAACACTACACTACCTATTGTTCGGAAATAGTCTTAGTCGATAATGAAATTAGTATATATTATCTAATATCAAAGTGTATAGTGCTTACTGCAGATCAAAATGTCGGTAGGAATTTGGAAACGTACAACCGTTTCAAAAAAATATAAAACATTTTGTTTTCTGACAACGATTATAGATTCTCGGGAATGAAGATATAGTTTTTATATCGGAAAAAACTAGTTCTGGCACTAGACTTTGCGAATGATATGTATTCGAACAGCGAGTTTTTGTCACTTATACATAAATTTTAAAATAAATTCCTGCGTTTAGCGGTCTAATGGATTCACACGAAATTACTTGAAAAATCGGTCCAACATTTAAATTGATGAATAGATATTTTTATTATTTTTATGTAGTTTTATAACATTTACAATTATTTTTCGATTTACTATCTGTTATCGAAATATTTTTTCTAGTCTTCTAGGACACAGTTTTATAACTTTATAGTTATTTTTTGATTTTATTATAGAGTTTCAATAAAAAAAAATTTTGATTTAAATCACATGATTAAAATTTAAAAAATCACTTGATTTAAATCATGATTTAAATCATTTGATTTAAATCATGCCAACCCTGCTTTACATAGACCTAATATATAATTAAGTTTGTTTTTATAATTTTAGATTAAGAGAAAAAAAAGTAATAAGTGAGTCTTAAATACGTCCAAATATTATGAAAGAAACACGATTATGAGTTTTTCCGCGAAAAAAAATTGAAAATTTGGAATTTTTTGAAAAAAATTTTGAAATGGGTTTAGTTGAAAAATATAATTTCTTGCTAATATAGCAACATAGGTAGTAATTTAAATTTACAAGAAAAAAAACCTAGAAAATATCCAGTGGTTCTCAAAATTTAAGCAAAAAATTTATTTTTAGGAATTTTTCAAAGTAAAATAACTTTTTATTTTGGACTTATTTGGAAAATGGCAAAGAGAAAATATGTTTTTTTTATCGACTGAAAATATTTGCACTTTTTTAAAAAAGAAAAATTATTATATTATTTAAACGCTAAAAATATATGTAGGTATTTAATAATATATTTAATAATATCTTATTAGGACTATGTAAAGTGGTCAGAAAAGAAGCAAAATACGGAATAATTGACAGAGTTTCTATTTAAAAAAAATATTCCGATTCACTCACACTTTTTTGCGCCACCCTGCAGAAGTAAAAATATTTCCTGAAATACATCCTAGTACATGCTTTAGGTTTGCACTACATTCAGCACAAAATTCTTAAGTTTTTTAAATTATAGGAGCTACGATTATGCCCGACGCACAGAGGTCATTTTATTCAATCTAGCAAATAATAATTTACAAGTTTTGTCACAAGAAAAAATAGTGTTATCATAATAATGTTTGTGTCATAATTTTTTGTACCTGAAAATTGGGCCACGTTTTGTCCCTAAATTTCACACCGGGAATAACGAAGGAATCTCCTGAATCCACAGAAGTTTTTGATCCTGCCTGTGCAGAGACGTTTTTATCACAATCCAGTTCCAGTAGCAGTTCACCACAACCAACTTGTGACCAGAACGGATTAAAAAAGGCCAGATCATTTCATTTTATATCTATTTAATTTAAGTTCATTTGAATGCATTAAGCCATTCAGGCATATTATATATTTGATTGCTTTAGAGTCACTTTAAAATATTTTATTCATGTTATGCATATTTCTGATATCTGCATAGTACGGTTTTTTTTTAATATAAAGAGTCCCTACATTTTGGTACCAAGATCGCCAGACTTTTTGCGGAATAATTAATAAAATATTAATATTCAGAAGCGTGCAGATTTAACTACCATTTTGAGTGATCTATTTTGATACATACAATTTACCAACAAATATTTTCAAACATCAAATTTTTCATAGTCTTATTTTATTCTACTTAACATTTAATTATTAATTATACTTAGCTTTAGTTTGTCTCAGCGTTTCATTTGTGTAATTCCTAAAATAAGTAATACCTATATTCTGAGTTGATTTCTCAGTTCTCAACTTAGAAGTTTTCGAAAGTAAATGGAAAACTGAGTGGCGCCCAGTATATTATAAAGACGTAAGTATCATAATTTAATTTTCACTAGCTTACGACCCATTGCTCACCGGCGAACAGCTCCGTCGCATAGTATTAGTTGTTTTAATATTTTTTCCGAAAGAAAATTCTTATAAATAAACATTCCATCATTTTTTAATAACTTCTAATGCTACAACCGCGTTTCGCTAGCTACTGTAATTTTGGAGTTACGATTTTTTAAAATTCTTAACCCCCTCCCATACCCTCTTACCAACCCCCCACCCCCACCAAAAACTAATGGCCAGATTCTCGGGTGCCATAGTATTTTTGTGCCAAATTTGGTGAAAATCGGTTTAGCGGTTTTTGAGTTATCGTGTTACAGACGGACAGACAGACAGACAGATACCATGAAAATATTTGGTATTTAGGTCATTTATGACCCAAATAACTCATTTTGAGTGAAATTAAAAAAACTTTTTTTTTGCCGATCTTAATAGCCTACCATACCTATTAGTATGGTCTACTTGTTTGATGAACTTTAACCGCAAAGTGTATCAGCCAAAGACATTACTATGGTATCAGCTAAATCAGTTTGATAGTCAAAATGTAATTATTAATTCCTAGATTAATTAAAATGACCACTGTGCGACGCATTGAAAACCTTGTACATTTTAATAACACTAAATGTAAGAATTGTAAATAAATATGCGATGGTTTGTTTTTTATTCAAATATGGTTACTCATAATAAAATCCATCCATTTAAATGCACATTCAGATCTAGTTCTCTTTACTTTTATCTGAGTTATTTTCATTTTCCGCATCTTTATCATTTCTAACCCTATTTTCCGACCTAATACCATGAATCTCAAGATTATGAAGCACATTTCTTCTTAACGGCAAATGGTTGTTAGGAGCTATCATCAGTAAATTGTTTCCGTTTCGGTCATAAACCGGTACTGATGGTGAGGAAAGTACATTTCTTCGGCATCTGATTCTACTTCGACTAATATGGTTTACGGACAAAGCTGTACTATGTCTGGTGACAGTTTGAAGGTCTTCGCATTTTATGTTTACTTGGATGGTGGTCGAATTGGTCTGCTGCCATTCCAGAACGTTAGTTAAAAGTCGAATATATCTGAAATTAATTATTAAAAGTTAATTTTGCTATTTTGCCCAAATAGATACCATACAAAAGAAAAAAAAATGGCGTCAAAGACGTGGAATAATCGATAAAAATTTTGGCGGGGTCAAATTCTAAACGTCGAACTAAAAATTGACATAAAACTTGTTATGATAGAAAGGTTAAAAAAGGATAGAACATTTCCAGACCCACAAATCTAAAAAAAATTAAATAATTAATTAAACTACACCATTCAAAAATCAGTTTTACTGAATATGAAAATAAATTACAATCTTCCTAAGGCCAACTGGTAGTAAGCGCCATTACAAAACTGGCTAAATAAATGACGGCTGCTAGGGCTTGACCTCGTCTAAATTATTATCGATTGTCATTTTTCAGCTGTCTTTTTATGCGTTTTTAGTGCTATTTGTAATAGTGCTATTTGTATATAGTGCTACTGAAGACACACATACACACAGTGGTGCCTTGAGTGACGTAAGTGAACACTAAAAACAATTATGGGACATTCAACCCTTAAGAAAGTGAAATTAGGGATAAAAGTTTGTGTAAAAAATTCGTTAAAATCTGGTTTAGGAGTACAAAATTTTGCACAGAATTGAACACTAAGAAGCGATTTTTGGAAATTTGTATCCTAAAGAGGTACAATAATACCTTTCACCCTTAATTGTAATAAAAGGGTGAACCTACAATTAAGGATGAAAGTTTGTTTAAAAAAATTGAAATCTGTTCTAGGAGTATGAAATTTTGCACCGAGGTTCCTTGTGAAACGTAATTGGGCTCAAATTAGCGATTTTTCAAAATGAAAGTGTTGAGTGTCTGTCAATTTGTTTAAATCGGTTCGAGAAGTCTTAAGTGACTTAATTGAACACTAAGAACGATTTTTGAAAATTAATACCCACAGAGTGGGAAATTGGGAGAGTTGTGTAAAAAAATGGTTCTCTTAGTAAGTATGAAATTTCGTAGAAGGGTTTGTAAGATGATGTAATTCAGTACTTAAAAACATTTCTTGGCAATTCATCCCCTAAAAAAGTAAAATAAGGGCTAAAAAAATGTTATAAATTGTTTTTGAAATAAGTGTTGCTCTAAGGCAGGGTTACTTAAAGTGTGGTCCACGGACCCCTTAGGGGACCCCATATGTATCAGGAGTCCGCATTACGTGGGTGCGGGGTCCATTTATAATCGACGCGGATAATATCAGCGATGAAGATCTCATTAAAGATGACTTAATTGACATGAGATCAAAAGAAGTTTTGAAAGTTGAATTTCATGCAATAGATCTTGGCGAGTTTTGGTGTTCTTTAAGTCAAGCTTACCCTCTTCTTGTCAAGCGAGAGTATAGCCGTTCTGATACCATTTGCTACTACGTACCTTTGCGAGGCAGGATTCTCGGTTCTGGTCTCAATAAAACCAAAAAATTAACGTTCTCATTGAGGCTAAACAGCAGCATCCTACACACTAATTTACTAATGTACGTGTAATAAATCTACTAATAATCGTTTTCTTTTTATGTAAATAAGGCTTTTTTTATTTTCCTCTTTATTTCTGATAAGGGTCCGTGGAATTGTACAAATTGCGAAAGTGGTCCGTGACTGCAAAAAGTTTAAGAAACCCTGCTCTAAGGTTTCTAAGTAACGGTCCTCAGCACTTTAATGCGATTTTTGAAAATTTACAGGATAAAATTATGGGAAAATGTTTAAAAGAATTCACCTTCATATTTAAGCTATAATATGATATATAGCTTCATATTAAGCATCCACTTATTTTTAAATTACAAAGAGACGATAACGAAACAAAAGCACCAAAATTAAAAGATTTGCCCTTATATTTAAACTCAAAAAGCATCAGCCTCTAGCCGCTACCGCGTAACTGACTCTTCCACTTCTGACCAAATCATCGAAACAAAATTGCAGGAATAAGTTTAGATTTCTTTCGTTTCAACCTTTTTCTCGTAATTATCTATTTTTTATTTTAATACGAATTTGATTGCTTTAAATGTCTTGATTTTAGAATCGAATGCACCATGTCAAATTTTCAGTCAGATGCTGTATCTATAGACTCCGGTCGTATTTCCCGGATACTAAGTTACCGGCAGCCGCTAGAAGCTTGTCAAAAAATAAAACGAATTTAAATACTAGCACTCACTCGTAAGATCCAGTGAATGTTAACATTTACTAGTAAAACTTTGTTTCAAAACTTCTACTGGTTTAGTGTTCGCAAATCAGTGAATGTAGCTTTTACAGACAATTCTTAACATTCACTGCTTTCTGGCTTTTACTTTAACATATATTTACTTATATTACCTTATTGCCATGCGTAGAATCTCATTCTTTGACAACTTCTTGTCCGGAGGATGCGTTGGAACAAGTTTTCTTAACTCGGCGAAAGCACCGCTCACATTTTGCTGTCTCCATCTCTCTCGTGTGTTCGTGAAAATTTTCTTTACAAATCCCCTACCTTGCAGTTCTTTGGGAGCCTATGTTAGAAAACAAGTAAAATATTAGGGAAAAACGCCGTCGGAATAGTTGTCGAATTCATCTATTTACCTGGACCGAGAATCGACTTAAATCCAGTCGTTTTTCTTCATCGCTATCGATCAGAGACAATTCGTCTGAAAAATCGTCTTCATCTGAGAAAGAATCTGCCTCATGACTGGAAACAATTGCTCTGCAACTGTTTGGAGAGGCTTCTCTGTTGAAGTCGTTATCTCCGTCGATACTCCATTCCATATGAATTTCCGGAGACCTCGTTATCAGAGGCTGAAATAAAAAATACATAATAGTTTCAAAACAATATGCTATGTATAAAATATATTACTCTATAGCTCAGTACGATTAACTATCATTTTTTAGTAAATCAAAGAATCTAAAAATTATTAAATCAATTATTATATTATTTTTAATCTTTTATATCTAATATTTAGCAGCGCACATATGAGTATTTGACCCAAAAACCTAGCCAAAATTCGAAAACGTAAAGTTGGAGAAATCAATCTCCAACTGGTCTATTTCTATAGTAAAAAACTGGTCCATTACATCCCTTAAAATGTTGCCACTCCATTTTTTCCTGTGACACGATATATGCGCGGGAAAAGCTCAGTATAGTCTGTGAAGCGAATAACTTTGAATTTGACAGTTCCCGCGGGCTTTTCTAGTGTTAATTTTATTAGGTTAGCAACTTGCGGCCCTGCTGACGCAATGCCGTCTCTAATAGAACAGCCTCACTTGACTATAGCTGAAATCGCACTCCATAGTCAATGTAGATAATTTTAGTGTTAAGAATAATAATTTAAAAAAATATGTGGTCATCTTTTGACAAGTTTATATTAGTTTATTAATTGTAGTAAACATTATGTGGTGTGTGGTGTGAATATTTTATATGTAATTTTTTGGATTATATTCGACACTATTTTTTTCATATGACACAACACTGATGAAGGCTATAATGTTATCCGAAACGTTTTTTTTTAAACCAAATAAAAATAATGAAAACCAAATGAAAACTTAATCAGCGTTTTTCCCGAACCTAAATCCCAAGAAAATCAAAGATTTTAGAATAATTTTACATATAAAATGACAGCGATCTTTATTTCATAGCCATCGCTGACGCCTTTTTTTTCTATGATATTGTATTATTTGCAAATAAAATGTTTCGAACATTGATACTTGCAAAATATACATATAAATTTTGTGAATGCAAATAACAATACATCACTATTAGTAGGTATTGGATGTTTTTTGTTAAATTAGATCGATTTTCAAACCCCAAAATTTAAAATATATTTTACATTTTATCCATTATCTGATGTACCTATTCATTATTTGTATATTTTAAAACATTTGCTGCCTTTGTGTGGTTCATAGTTTATTTGCCAAAGTATTTATTACTATAAATAGGTATATGTATTGTATTTATTAACTGTATATTATGTATATTTCATGAAAACTATATCATTTTTAAAATACAATGTTTATGAATGAACATGTATCAATAACAATGTATCATGAATACATGTTTTCCATGTATTCTACAACATATTTATTACTCCGTAGTATCTAACCAGCCTGACGTCATCAATCTCGCTCCGAGGCTGTTCTATTAGAGACGGCATTGGTGTGATATTTAGAAATGTCAAAAGCTGACGACATTTTACTTTTGGCAATTATGACATTTTGTGTTGATTTTTGCAAGAAAAGGAAGAACTGTCACTTGTTTTATTATTTTCCTTTTCTATTTCACGAAAGTAAAAAGAGTTACCTATCTGATTCGTTCAGGCACTCAGTTTAAAGAATATCAGTAACTTTTTTGACAGAGGGGTTTTATATTTGCCATGTTGGTAAAAAATAACGGTCAAAATTCAAAGTTATTCATTTTTTAGACTATAGTAGAGTGTATTGCGCTCTTTTAGACTAACGATATACAACTTTTATTAAAACGTTCAGTGAGTGTTTTGAAGGGATGTACTTGTATAAAAAAAACTTTTAATCTACTTTTTTGTTAAAAGAAATAGTTATTTTTTATACAAGACGATAAAATGGCATTTTATCGTCGACCGAAAAGATTAATTCACGAGCGATGAAATCGCGACTGAATTAATTTCGGGAGACGATAATGCAATTTTTCGTCGTGTATAAAATAATATTTTTTTCCATAGCAAGTTACGTTTTAAAAAATATTGAGAAATTATTATTTCAAGGGATTTATTACGAGTAGAAAAAATATTGTGCTGGGTTGGCGTTGGTTTCTATGTAATTTGACAAAAAAATAAAGCTGTCTCCAGCTGTCCCCAGCTGTCTCTTTAGTTGTCAGTTTTGAGTCAATATTTTTCAATTCTCTTTCGTGTCGATTGCTGATTGAACTGGAGCCAGAAATGGCTCAAAACGAAATAAGTAAATTACCAACAGATATTCAGGCTGAGGCGACAAACGCCATATCCAAACTACTTCCATTTAAATTCCTAATAACTTATGAAAAGGAATACAAAAATTTAAAAAAATGGAAGCAATTAAAAAACGTGCGAGACGAAATAAAGTTTTTAACCTATCCTCGTTGTTAAAGTATCATTTAATCTGCCTTTGCGGTTAAAGTACTATTTTATCTACTATTTTTGATAAATATAAGGCAATTTTAACAGTTGCTACGGAAAAATGTGTCTGATCACAAAGAGATTGTGTTTGATCACTAAGAGGTTGTGATACGAAAATTGTTGACACTCTGCAATTTCGTGATTTTCAATATAGCAAAATCCAGAAACACACACATTACTCTTAATTTCAAAAATCGCTTTAGATCTAAACACATTCATATGATTAGAAGTTTAGGACAAGCCACCTTGACCAGATTTTTTTGTTGCTATAACTCAAAAACTAAGGGAGATACAAAATAAAGTGAAGAGATCGATTCTGTAGAGAATTAAATGTCCTACCACAAATATTGGACATATATTAATACAGCTTTCTTATATCTTTGATAATAACAAAGTTATTGGCGAATGAAGTTTTTTGATGACGGACTGACGGAAACCTTGTTTTTTGGATTCCTGGGGTCAAAACGTTAAGAAAAGTGCTTTTGGTCATAGTCAAATTTCGCCCTAAACCAATACTTTTCTTATCATAAATTATGAAAAGTAAAAACATGTAGAGATAACAACAATCACCTGTGGAATTAAACATGTCGAATTTAGCGCGCCTGACGAGCGTTGGACGAGTCTGGCAAGGCTTTCGAGATGTTCCACATGAGCCAGACTATTTTTTTTTCTTAACTGCACAACATCTCTCAATAATAGAACTATTTTTATCGCTTATTTCTTGATATGTCGTAGCGCTGAATGTGTACTTTACGTAAAACGGTATCGTTTTTGAGATTCACACCTTTTGTTCCAGAGATATTTGGTGTTAAATGTTTCGAAAAACAGAAAAATATATTTCTTTTGTAGATTTTCTCAAATAACTCGAAATCTGTTACAGATATCGGAAAACGGTTTTCAGCATTCAATTCTACATAATATGAACTATCAGTGGGTTTATTTTAGTTGCGATCTGAGAGATTTCGGTTTTTGATAAAATCGACAGAATTCTCTTGACAACATTTTGGAAAATCGATTTTGCTTATTTCTTGATATGTCGTAGCGCTGAATGTGTACTTTAATAAGTACTTAATAAGTGCAATATATTTGTACTTTCTAACGCATTTTCCGCTCCAACCCATCAGAATATACCTCTACATATACCGGGTGCGTCTCAAAAGTGGCTCACACCTATAACTTTTTTATTTTTTCGGATAGAAAAACGAGATTTGGTATGTTAGTATTTAACATAAATTAGGATTGATTGACGTATTCAATTGTTTTTGGTCACTTCCTGTTTCACCGGAAATAACCACAACTTTTGATTTTTAAATGATACTCCCGGTATATGTTTTTACTTTATTCAATAGAAAATGTCACTCTGAATAGAATGGCATATCATATGTCAACTTTTGACATTTTCGCATATGGTTTATTTAAAATTATAACATGAGGTTCCTAACAAAAATTTTTGACTCGAAATACCAAATATGTGGATCAAATTATTCGTAAAAAATGCTTTTTCCAAATATGCTAATGAGCCACCCTCGTTCCATTTGACAAAATTAAGTTATGATTGAAAATACGATTTGTGCATCTTTTAACAAGTCAGTAAAAGACACTAAAAATATTAGGCGATCAAATCTATTTTCCCAAGGCCTCTTCAATAAAAATTAGTGTTTTTAACATAGGTATAGCACTCTAGATTGAAATTTAAAATACGATTTTTTCTTAAGTGAGAATGTCAAAAGTTGACATATGATATGTCATTCTATTCAGAATGTCATTTTCTATCAAATAAAGTAAGAAAATACCAAGGGTGCCATTTAAAAATCAAAAGTTTTAGTCATTTCCTGTGAAACAGGAAGTGACCAAAAACAATTGAATGCATCAATCAATCCTAATTTAGGTCATACACTACCATACCAAGTCTCGTTTTTTTTTATCTGAAAAAATAAAAAAGGGGTGAGCAACTTTTGAGACGCACCCTGTATATGAAATTTGCTTAAAATAAGATACCGAATAATTCTATCTGTATTTTCAGTCTGCCGACTGGGAAAATAAGTACCGAAAATCTTCACTGCCTCCTAGACTAAGGAAGGCATTGACAAATCACCCTTAATGGACCATTTATATCAGATCAATTTTGAAAATATTCCACTAATCCAATACAATGTTAAAGCTAAAAATATTGGTGATGTGCCAGCAGTGAGACAATTTAATGGTGTCGGAAAATCGTTCTAAATGTCCATTCGTATGGACTACTCTCTATTTTTTACGATGCGAATGTTGGATTGGCTTAGTGAATTGTTTTTTACAAATGGCTTCGTTTAAATCGTCCATAAGTGATTTAACTGATATTCACCAAATTGAAGTAAAATTATGAAACCCTTGAAGTAATTTGAAAATTGTTTTTGAAAATAATCTCTTGAATAATTGTTGGACCTCTCCGAAAGGTTTTATGATTGAGACCATTTCAAGTTGTCATGGATTTACTCTATCGATCTATGAAGGTGTCATACGTTTATACCCAAAAGATATGTAAACCCACGTAATGCTGTATGTATTTTTTTAGATTTAGGGCATCTAATTAGAATAACAAATACATTTTTAATATTAAAATTAATTATACAACACTTCTTACCATCTTTTCCTTCACCAATCCTATATACCACTTCCAAACCAAACAACCCACACAAACACCTACCGAATATGTTTCCTACTTCTACCCCTCACGACCACAAACCCCCCAGCTTAACTTTCAATTACCTCAAGAGTCAATCACTACCACCAACACAAACGGTTTTTCTGCGGCACCCAGAGGCAAGAGGCTTTCACAGCCTCGGGCGGAAATGACCGGAATAATAATTCGCGATATCAGCATCACACATCCCGTCGCCGGCCTCTTATCACCGCTCGCCAGACACCCCCGCTCGGGCCAATCGCAAAGCCGGGATCGGGATGCGAGGGTCGGACTGGTCACGCCCTCGAATTCGTACCTTTGCTTCCAGGGGGAGTCTGGATACGTTTGGATAGTTTGGTGGAGTGAGAGGGAACGAGGGGATGGATTAGGGTGCGTGGTTTTGGATTGTGGAAAAAGGTATGGAGAGAAGTTCTGATTGATTTTCTTGTTGGTGTTATGAAAATACTTTGTATCTTTATTGGTTCGCCAAAATCGAATTTAGATGTGAAATAAATTGAGAATCAAACTGCACTGAAAAAATTAATTTGTGAATTTAATAACACATGGTTATTTTTTGCCACAGATTATTGTAGTAAATTTACCATCCGTTCTTTAGTTTTACAACTCGTTTGTAAAATCGCTGTATGGCTAATTTGTGTGGCATGTATGTAAATATGAAGTATATCTTTATATTCACCAATATACTTTGTGAATTTATGTAAAGAAGGTATATCTCATAGTAAATTTACTTATTCATTGTAAATTTATCTTTTAAAATCGCCAACCTCTTGTACTATTAATATAGAGTACCAACAAATTTAAATATTTTATTATAGTGAATTTACAATTACTTTTGTAAATTCACAAAGCATTAGTAAATATCAATAAATTTAATAAAACACGTGATTATAATTAATTATAATATTTATTCTAAAGGTTAATAAAAAGTCTCAAAACAGAAGTTATGTATATAAGATTATAAGATACTCAATTCCGTCTCTTCTTGTCTAGAAAAACCTTACTGGAATTAACCAAAGTAGGAATAGGGAGGAATAGGAGTCTAACCAAAGTAGGAATAAAATTGCCATTAGATTGTAATTTTGCATTAGATGCAAAATAAAAAAAAACATGCAAGAAATAGGTATCTAATCAAAACAGTCAACTTACCAACTTAGAGACTTTGGGGATGTATAGAGTCCTCTACTCCTGGTCCTCTATTAAATTTGTCCTCCGAAACACAGTCTGAAAGAATAGGTAAATAATACTTGAGATATGTTGATAAAGAGAGATCATGGAATAATTATGTTTACAAAAAAAACTGTGTGTGGCAAGTTTGGTTCACCATATAGGCTTGGTGAACCAAACTTGTCACGGATCAAATCCTCGGGCTTGATCTGTTAGATTAGATTCTTCTATAAAAACCATCAAAGTCCGCGGACTTGTAATGTTCTTTCTTTCTTAAGCGATTTATTTTTAGTTTTTAATCAAAAATTTACTATAAAACGTCATGGTCCAGGAGGTAGGTAGTAAAGATTTTCGGTACTTATTTTCCCAGTCGGGAAACACCGATACAATATTCGGTATCTTATTCTAAGCAATTGTCATATACAGTACGTCTGTCCGTTCTATAGCTACGGGGTATCGGTGAGAGGGGAAACGATATTCTCTCGATGTTTTTCGTAAAAAATTAGACGACGCGTTTCATCAATAAAAATTCGACAAATTTGCAAGTAGCCAATAAAATGAGTATGCGGAGCGATATGCGGTGACGTACTCTTCAAGTCGACGAATAAAATATATTGTTGTTTATTTAAATGTTTTTTGTTCGCATTCCTTTCATAGACACAAATCCAGCAGACGTACTGTATATGTGGGGGGGGTCCGATGAGTTGGGGCGGAAAATGCGTTAGAAAGTACAAATATATTGCACTTTTTTTTCCAGCGATAAAAATAATTCTATTAGTGAGAAATATGTAGTTAAGAAAAAAATAGTCCAGCTAACCCGTGAGAATGGGTAATATGTCTGGAAAGTGAAAAATTGGATAAAAATGATTGAAACCATTGCCCTTATTTTTGCAGTCTTAAAAAATTGTCAGATGATAGTTTATATTATAATTGCAACTGCAAATATAGTCTGGCTAATGTGGAACATCCCGAAAGCCATGCCAGACTCGTCCAACACTCGTCAGACGTCTCTAAATTTGGCATGGTCAATTATACAGGTGATTGTTGTCATCTCTACATGTTTTTACTTTTCATAATTTATGGTAAGAAAAGTATTATTTTAGAGTGAAATTTGCTTTGACCAAAAACACTTTCCCCAACGTTTTGACCCTAGGAAACCAAAAACCAGGTTTTAGTCCGTCCGTCCGTCATCAAAAAACTTCATTCGCAAATATCTTTGTAATTTGTAATTATCAGAGATATAAGAAAGTTATATCAATAATTATCAAATATTTGTAGTAGAAAATTTAATTCTGTACAAAATCGATCTCTTTACTTTATTTTGTATCTCCCTTAGTTTTTGAGTTATAGCAATAAGAAAATCTGGTCAAGGTGACTTGTCCTAAACTTCTCATCATATGATTGTGTTTGGATCTAGAACGATTTTTAAAATTAAGAGTACAGTACGTCTGTTCGTTTTGTAGCTACGGGGTATCCGTGAGAAGGGAAACGATATTCTCTCGATGTTTTTCGTAAAAAAATAGACGACGCGTCCCATCAATAAAAATTCAACAAATTTGCAAGTAGCCAATAAAATGAGTGGGTGGAGCGAATTGCGGTGACGCACTCGCAAATCGACGTATAAAATATATTGCTGTTTATTTAAATGTTGTTTGTCCGCATTCCTTTCATAGACACAGATCCAGCAGATGTACTGTAATGTTTCTCGATTTTGCTATATTGAAAATCACGAAATTGCAGAGAGTCAAAAATTTTCGCATCTAAAAATACGAAATGTACGACCTGACTTGTGAGTCGCCCCGCCAGCCTTTCGTAATTGTAAATGACAGCTAGACGTGTATTTTCTATGAAATTATAGTATTATTTATAATGTGGCAAATATTAAAATCCGGAAAAATAAGATCAAAAATTTTGTATTTTTTGCAATTTTCAAAATGCCGATGCCGCCAGACTCATTTGCCGATTTCGTAAATCAGGCACACTTCCTTTTGATTATTGTTTATGAAAGTATCAAATGATGCGTTAAATTTCAAGCATGGGAAAATAGGAATTATGGATTTCAAAAATCTGTCAAATTTTTGCATCCGCAAATTTTTTGATAACCCTTAAATTATATTAATTTTAAAATCCGCATCCTGTTGATAACTCTTCAATTATTAATTTTAAAAAAATTATACTTAAACCATTAAATTCTAGGTAAAAAGGTGCTTTGAAAATGTTTTCATAAAAATACAAAATTTTATAGCAAAAAAGTTAAACGATTTGTTAAAAATGCACATTTTTTAAAAACACCCAGTAAAATTGAGCCCCAGACACCAATATTAGTTTTCGTCTATCTCCTATAGAAAAGGGTGTTTCCCTTTAAAAGCGTTCAATTTGACTCACCTGTACATATCAAAGCGGGCATGTATCAACAAATTCAAAATATTTCTTAAACAATAATTGATACACTTCTACTATAAAAATTATTATGAGTAGTAGTATAGACTAGGATATAATAAAAATATCCGTAAATGGATATATATTATTCGTTTCTTGCTAATTTATTCATATCGGCATTAGCTTATATCATCTTCGTGGGAATAAAGGACAGCGAAATGATTAATCCGGAGCGAAATTTGTCCGGGCACGCTTTTTTAATCCCCTCGTCCAAATTAATTTGGGCTCAAGAAGCGAGTTAGATCGGGCGGAAAGATTAAAAAATAAGCTGGGGTCGAGATTTGACACTCGCCACCACCCTTCCTAATAATGCCCAACTACAGGGCCATTAGGGTTGCGTTTTTTATTTATTAGGGGAAACGTTATAAGTGATTTTTTATCGGTACAGAGACCACGTGTGAGTAAATATAAAAATATTGCTTCGTATGATGGATAGGAAAAAAATCTTATTTTTTTTCTTCTAATTTCAAATATACACTCACCGGCAAAAAAATCCGGCCACTAAAAACAAGTGCCAATTTCAAAGTTGAATTTCTCTCGAACCACTCATTAGATTTTTATGATTTTTTTTAAGTTGTAAATTAATTCCGTCTGAACGGATGCTACGTCAGAAATTTTTGCTAAATTATTGCTAAATCCCTTTATTGCTAAATCAAATCACATTGTAGCCTCATCTTTTGTGAGCATTTTGTTTTTTTTAATAACCACATTATCTCTGTTTGTATTGGAGATACACTGCTTTAAAACGAACGTCTCGGAAAAATGCTTTGCAGGCAAAACCGCGATTCATCCGCGGAAACGACTTTAGTCCATTGCTCGATATCCCAATTCACATGTAATACAAACCGAACATGTGCTCGACGATGTCTTGGAAGTAGTTGGGGTCTTGTGGTAGGCCTTCTTGCAGACAAGTTGTTTTCTTTTAGTTTTCGTCGGATTGTTCTCTCAGAGACTTGAGTTCTACGCACGGCTTGTAGGAGATGTTGATTCTGAAACGCTGTAATTCTACGATTTCGTAAAGTATTCAGGGTAATAAAGCGGTCGTCGATTCCATTTGTCTTCCGTTTTCTTCCGGAACCCACTCGCCTGGTGAAATTTTCCGTTTCCATATACCGATTCCAGGGGCGCTATTCTGTACAATCGTCGGTATCGGCAAGTTAGCTATCGGTACGTACGGCCAATGAGCGTCGTGTTGATTGTTGTTATCATAGTTTCCGATCGGCCCTATGACAGATATCGCAAATTTGTACCGACGACTCTCGGTATCTCTATCGTGCCCTTGTCAACCTCACGGTAGAGATACCGATTTTCATCGGTACAAATTTGCGAATCTGCCGTAGGACCGATCGGTAACTATGGCAACAACAATTAACACATTTTTAATATATACAAATACGTACCGATAGCTGTCGGTAACTTACCGATACCGACGATTGTCGATGCCGTATACAGAATAGCGCCCCAGAGGCGCTATTCTGTACAATCGTCGGTATCGGCAAGTTACCGACAGCTATCGGTACGTACG